TGCAAACCCCACAGCCAGTTAAGGGCAGAGCTGTGGTTTGAAATCAGGTCTGCAGTGCTCACAGAAGAGGGGAAGGGATGCCTGTGCCTGAGACCCCACCCTGGGAACACCCAGCAATGTGGGCTGAGCTGAGGAGGCCTTTCTCCTTCTGCCCCTCGGGCTCACCTCGGACCTCCCTCCCCCGGCAGGGCCCTGTGCTCACCTCATCCACCTTCACGGAGGACGGTTCATTCAGCAGGGCCTTTACCAACTCTAGGGAAAGAGTCAAGCTGGGTCTGGGGCAGCAGCTGCCCTGTCCCTGTGTCCGTCCCCACTGGAAGGGGAGGTGGGCTCTCGAGGAGGTCCTCCCACCACCACAGCACCCTTGGGGAAGGCAGTGTCACCAGAGCCCCAGGCAGTCCAGCCCAGGCCTCAGCAGGGCTACAGGAGGGTGTGGCTGAAGGGAGGCCTGGCCCACCCCTCCTCCTGGACCCTCCAGGTTGGTCCTGTGGCTGGAAGCCAGCAGCCTGGTTAAAAGTAGAGAAGGGGCCTGGCCTAGCAGCCCTTCCCCTAAAAGGCAGGGTGGCTGGGAAAGGTCCTGCTGCCCCTCCTGACCTCCCAATCCCTGGCACCACTAGAGCCAGAGAAAATCTCTGCCAGCTCTTTGAGAATTTCGAATGTAACTTCCTCTACTTGAGGACAGAGAAACTGCGGCTCAGAGAGGAAAAGGGGCTTGTCCAAGGTCACAAAGGAAGGTGATGCCCTGGGTGCCCGCGCTTCTGGGGAGGAAGATGGGGGTGGGAAGTGCTGAGGACCTGCCCTCCTAGCACCTGCAGACCGGGTGGGCGCACCCCGCGGTGGAGGGGGGACAAGGGTTCAGGGCGGCGACCCAATACCCGGCGAGGCCCGCCTAGGGGAGAGGCGCACTCACCGGCGGGAAAGGGGTTGAGCTGCACCACGGAGAGGAAGCGGCGCACGGTGCCGTAGAGAGGGTCCAGGGGCCCCGGTGCGCGGACGAGAGGGGCCA